GTGATCGAAGTGTGTTTGAGAACATGTGCTCTTAAATCACGCGACACAACAATCCCATTGGTATAACATTTTTATTTTGCGCCAAAATTTGGGAGTAAAAACTAGGGCATCGCAGTAGTGTGCAGTTAAAACATAAAGGTTTAAAAACTTTGGATGCATTCTTAAAAACTTCCTTGGCAGCGGTTATTAGAAATCATGCATTATCTAACATATCCTAAATTAAGCCCTCGATAATATTGTTGATAAAAATACAGGGGAACCCAACTTTACGGACACTCGTTAATATGGACACCTGCTTATTACCGACAGTTTTGTTTGTCCCGACGACACATATTTTCTCTTATATCAGCCCGCTTAATACGGACACCCGGATAATACGGATACTTTTTCATGTCCCTTTGGTGTCCGTATTAACAGGGTTCCACTGTACGTTTTAGTGGACTTATTTTCATGTGGGCTTTGGGTAGAGGGGGGGGGGGGAGGGGGGGAGAATGTGGGGCTTATTATAGGAGTACATATATTTGGGGAGGAGGCTTATTCCGGGAGGGGGGGGGACTTCCATATAAAAGTGACAGGGGTGATCGTTGTACCTTTTAGGGCTTGAAATTTGTGGTTTGGTACTGCTTAGGGTGTTAAAATCTAAAATGTCTACCATTAGAGTTCTTCCGGTACCTTTTAGGGTATTTTACGGCAAAAAAATATGACAGGAACTAGTTTTGTCTTAGAATTGGTACCTCTTAGGGGTGAAAATGACTTCCACACCCTCCAAATGAGATTTTGGTACCTTTTAGGGGTTCTTTTCAAAATTTCCGACGATCACCCCTATCACTTTTATATGGGAGTCCCCCCTGGCGGGGGGGGGGGGGGGCTTATTATGAGAAGGATTTCTTGTCTGAGATTGGGGGGGGGGGGCTTTTTCATTTTTGTTGGGGCCTTATTATCTGAACCTTGCGGTATTTAATTGTCAATAAAGTCAGAGATCATCTCACACTTAAAGATAGTTTGCAATGTTCCATATTGACATATCACTCTGTTTGCCTTTACAGGTTGACTGTACAACTGAAAGTGCAAAATGTACAGAACACAACGTCCATGCATTTCCTACGCTGAAGCTGTTTAAAGATGGAAGAGTGGTTGGTATTACAACAAATGTTTTACTCTGCATGGCAGGCATAGAAAGGGGAGGGAGAAGGGGCTTTCGGGCTTCCTTCTTGCGCTTCACCCTTTGCCCCAAGTCTCCCTCTCCTTTCTAGCATTTATTTAAAACTTAACCTTGTAGACCCGGCTTTTATTTGAATCCGGTGTTTATTCGGTAAGGTAAAGCTGCACTCGGGCCAAACTGGCCCACAATGCCAGAGCTTATCCCGGTTTCTGTAGCATGAAGTCGACTAGGAGTATTGCTAACTCCCCCTGGATGGTATGTTAGTCCATTGCAGGTCACCCCCAGTATTTTGTCCCCGATACCCATTTATACTCCTGGATTAACAGATGCAGTGATGTGGTGGCCTAATGGTTAGTGCGCTGGACTCTGGACCGAGTGGTCCGGGTTCGACGGGGTTACTGTACTGTGTTGTATTCTTGGGCAAGTCACTTTACTCTCACAGCTTAACTAGTGCCTCTCTCCACCCAGGAGTATAAATGGGTACTGGCGACAAAATGCTGGGGGGTAACCTGCGATGGACTAGCATCCCATCCAGGGAATACTCCTAGTCGCTTTATGTATGTATGTATGCTACAGAAACTGGGATAAGCTTTGGCAGTTGTGGGTCACTAGGCTTGTGAAGACTTGACCTATTAATAGAGGAACTGTGAGAGTTACATGTCTTGCCCAAGAACACAATACATTGACCCCGGCTAAATAATGCTTGAACCTGGACCGCCGCTTGATCCGGAGTTCAACACGCTAACCATTAGGCCACCTTACATCTCCCGCATTTATTCAGGAAATATGGTATAGTGTAGCTGCCAACGGCGAGAGTTGATATCTTGATGTTGTTGGTTTAGGTGGACAGCTATGAAGGATCACGTTCTCTGGACGATTTGAAGAACTACTTGACTCTGAAGATCTCCGAGCACAGCCTGTTAAGCAGTGCGACCACAGAGAACAGCGAGACAGCTGAAGAGATTCCGTCGGAAGAGGAAGAGGAAGAGGAAGAGGAAGACGATGCTGACATGGTTAGGAAGGACCACTCAATGAATTTTTTAAATTAATTTCTGCTCTCATTTAGATGTACCATAGAATCCCGAATCCATTACAAGTTGTGGCAGTTGCAAAAAGGTCTGAAAAAGCTAAAATGCTGATTGTCGTGTGGTTGTTTTCAGATAAAGCCATTCCAGCTCACGGACAGTAACTTTGACGCTATGATCAGTGTTGGCACAACATTTGTCGAATTTTATGTGCCATGGTAGGTTGACGTGGATGCTTTGTATGTGCCATGAGTTGTCATGGCAACCTGACAAAAGTGCTGTGGGGTTAACTCCCGTCATGCTAATGAACAGGCTAGAGTTAACCCTCCCAGAGTCAAGGGTTATTATTGGAATTTTAAGCTACTTGACAGTCATAAGTGAATTGCATCATTTGGAGTTTTGATTCTTGTGTCAACAGGTGTGTTCACTGCCAGGAGCTGGCCCCAGTCTGGGATCAGTTAGCAAACAAGTGCGCAGACAGTGTTTCTGGACCAAGGATTGCCAAGGTTGTTGAATTATTTCCAATATATTTTTTGTCGTAACATTCTGTGAAAGTGGTTTTCTGACGACTGTCATAAAACCAAAAACCAAATTAATCACAACTGGCCAATCACAACAAAGGCAAATGACACAATGAGCCAATCAGAACTCGAAGCAAAACAAGCAACCCGTGCATGGCGTGGGAAAATGTGTAACCGGTGCCAAGCGCAGGAAAACATGTAACTGGTGCCAAGCGTGGGAAAACGTGTAACCGGTGCCAAGCGCGAGAAAACATGTAACCAGTACCAATGTGCAGGAAAACGGTAACCAGTACCTAGCGCGGGAAAATGGTAACCTGTGACAAGTGCGGAAAAGTGTGTAACCGGTGACAAGCGTGGGAAACCAAGTTACCCCTGATTGGCTTAAAATACATTGGCTCTAATTGGTTAAAGTACCAACCACAGAGCTCAGAAAATGCAAAACCAAAGCAAACAAAGAATACTTTCGACAGTCAACAAAAACTGCTTGGATGCTGTTGTAAAAAGACATTTTGAGGCCTTAATGTGTCATGTGACGTGACAGGGTTGAGGCTTTTTTAAAATTATCTTTTTTTATCAGGTTGATTGCTCGGAGGAAGCTGAACTTTGTCAGAGTTACGGGGTGAGTTGTTTTGAAAACAGTCTCTTTGGTTGGCAGTAATGCCAAAATAAACGTCAGCTTTGAAAAAGCTCTCAATAGTTTTTTTATTTTTATTTTTGGGAGGGGTACTCGTCTAAGGTACAAAATTATTATCATGCGTGGATGTTGTTTTTGCAAAAAACAGCTTAAAAGTATTTAAATAGTCAGAGAGCATTACAGTAAATTTAGGACTTGCAACCGCCTTGGTAAATTTGGAAAGCTGACATTTCGGGTATTAGCAAATTGTTCTGACGAAGGGTTGACGCTTGGAAAGGCACCATTCCAAATTCTTCACTGCGGTTAATTTACCTCTATCAACTTCAAGTTAATAATCAACTAAGTGTTTCACTTGCCGCCAATGGCGGATAACAGTTTCTTATGAAACTTCAAGGAGTTATCTCACGATATATTCAGTTGTCAATGTGAAAAATCACCTTCAAATTGAAGGAAAACCTCAAAATAATAGTTTACTAAGGTAGAAAAACATCAAAGAGGTGATAATAAACCAAACAGGAACAAGGATGGTTGAGGTTGAGGAAGATTGAGACGGATTATGAAAGCCTAAATTTTTCAAGATGCGCCTTCCGTGTAGGCCCGATTTCTGCCGCTCTCTCGAGTCAATTGAGCCTACAGTAGCTCCTTTAATTTATTAATATTTTTCCTGCTCTTTTCCAGATCAGTGGCTACCCCACACTCATTCTGTTTAGCAGAGCTGTTCCGAAGCAAGAGTACAAAGGCCCCAGAGATTTGACCAGTCTGTACAACTTTGCTGTACAACATCACGATGAGCTGTAGCCAATCACCAAGCAGAAATAGAATACCTGTAGCATGTTACCTGTAGCACGTTTCTTCCCTCATCCAATCAGATGTGACCTTTATGCTCAAACCAATCACCAAGCAGAATATAATACCTGTAGCATGTATTCTTGAACCAATCACCAAGCAGAATAGAATGCACACGTGTCTTCCCTCGGCCAATCAGATGCAACAATATATAGCGTGTAATCTGGTTGCACGAATGGACAGCAGCCTCATCCCCACGTTAGGCAATGAACTTTGTAGTCTCCTGCGAAGTACCCTGCGAGACAGAGATTGACTTCTCATCGCGCGCGCGCCGAAAGAGAAGTCAATCTCTGTCTCGCAGGGTACCTGCGAAGAAGACTACAAACTTTGCTATAGCACTATTTCCTGTACAAGTGTTTCCAGACAACGCACTTCGATGTTATTCGTTTTATAGAAAGAAAGAAAAAACGATGGATAATGAAGAAATAAGGAGTTGTACATACAAAAATACTTAATAATTTATGACGTATAGCAAGGTTGTAAAAAGGTTACGTTGCAATAATTTATTTATGGCATAATTACATGTAATCTGGTAGGTTTCTAGTGAGTGACGCAATAAAGATTTAGAAGTAATATTGGAGTTTTTTTTGATAACCTTTATATAAAGATTATGTGGAAAAGCATGATGGTATATTTTAAGCTTGGTAAAAATATGAGTCAGTGAGTCGCCCATTCTGACTCATTTCTACCAAGCTTAAAATTCACTATCATTTCTTTCCACACACATCTTGCATATCTATAAACTAATCTTAGCAGTATGTGGGAAAGTTTGTCACATTTGAACCTAGTTATATGACCTGAGCTCCCACAAGTCTCCTGTAGCTCAGTGGTAGAGCGTCTGACCGGTGTGTAGAAGATGATAGATCCACTCCTGTTGGGAGAACTTGGAATTATTTTTCCGAGTAGCTTGTGTCACTGACTGATAAACATCTTTCTCAATCTACAGGGAAGTTCCTAATTTGTCATGCCGTGAACGCAGTTTTTCGCGGATCATTGCAAACTATTTCCACCTCAGCAATATATATATTTTCCCGTTGATTGAGCCATAGTTAATAGAGGGAAATGGTTATGAAGCCTGTCAAAGTTCTTTGTTATATGTTTTTGTTCGCTATTTTGGGGGTTGACCGTGCACAAAACCTGACAAAATACAATAGGTGGTTACGTGTGTTCAAGCAACTAACCAATAGAAACGTTGCGATTACGTAATTCATGCATAGCGTATGAGCGCAAAACAAAAGATGTGCACGGTCATGGACCTTCAAAGGAGCAAACAAAGAGGCCAAGATTTATGTTGGAAGGTCCATGACCGTGGCACATCGTTTGTTTTGCGCCCATACACTATGCATGAATTACGTAATCGCAACGTTTCTATTGGTTAGTTGCTTGAACACACGTAACCACCTATTGTATTTTGTCAGGTTTTGTGCACGGGCATGCAACCCCGAAGCGAACAAAAACATATATACCAAAGAACTTTGTCGGGCTTCATAACCATTTCCCTCTGTTAACTATGATGAAATCAATCAAGAGGGGATGATCTGAGAGAAGGATTTTCCGTGCCTCATGATAATTTTTTGAAATCTATTAATCGTTTCGCGCCATTGTATGAAAGCTATTTTAATTTCCTTCTGATCGAGGCTCTGACATCGCGTTACTCGAACTGACCAATCATGCAGGTAGCGCTCTTAAAATAGCTCAGCTAAGACAGCTATGGACTGAAAGTTAAAAATAGATTTCAAAAATTGTCATTAGAAGAGACCTTTGTATGGGGAATGCTTCTCTTAGATCATCTGTTCTTGATTCAATTTATTATTTTCTTGTAAATTGACATTTTCTAGACTTTCTTCAAGTCCTAATCTAAAATTCTACTTACTACGTCCCTACAAGGAAAGCATGTCATACCTAATCAGACATATCCTGTAGCTGAATGGAAACAAACAATTCGCCGTCGCGTTTCATGTTTTCCATAAGACGCAGAATTCGGTCATTTCACTTTCTTGTTATCCTTGTTATTCAAAGGATGGCTAAGAAATGTACTTTATAACGCACGTTTTACTGCGCAATAAATCTTGTTGTATTTTGGGAGATGTTCTCGTTGCCGTTGTGACCGGGGGGGGGGGGGGGGGGGGGGGGGCTACTCAACAAAGTTTTATGGAGGCTCCGCCCCGAAGTCCAAACCCTTACCCTTTTATATACCATTTTTGACAAAAAAGGTAACCCTTTCATATACCTTCCATAGAAAATGGTACCCCTTTCACATACTTACAGTTGAAACGCTGCATCCCTTTTACGACTTTTACTAAACTTTGCGCTTGTGTAGCTCCTTAAAATATTGGATGAATCAGCCGTTAGGTGCGTCTGTTTGAGATATTTTGAAAGGCCGTTCAAAATGACAGTTTTCATACCTGTTCTATACTTCAGCAACACGTGAAATCCTACCATTTTATATACCTACACCCTGAAAAAGCTACCCCTTTCGGGCGGACTGTCCCCGTATAGTCCATTAATATAGGGATACCCCCCTCCCCCCACCCCCTACTTGTCTCCTCCCAGAAATCTTCTTAAGTCTCCGCCTGGAAATCTTCTTAAGTCTCCCCCCAGAAATCTTCTTAAGCCCTCACACACAGTTCGCATTGAACGGATGACGGTCCAATCGCATCTCATTAAGGAGACTGAGAATATTTCAATTTCTTATAAGAGGGGTAAAGCATTGTAAAGTCAGTACAGTTCGCTAGGTCCGTGAAACTCACACACGGCTCGCATTGAACGGATAACGGTCCGTAAATCGGGCTAAGTCCATGATTTTCATCGATTTTCGGACAATTCTCACCTTTTTTACTGGGCTATAATCCATGATTTTCATCGATTTTCCGCAAATGTTCACCTTTTTCACTGGGCTATTATAGACCATGATTTTGATCGATTTTCGGACAATTTTCACCTTTTCACTGGGCTATAGTCCGTGATTTTTATCGATTTTCCGACAGTTTTCACCTTTTTCAATGGGCTATATATGGTCCATGATTTATATTGATTTTCGTACAGTTTTGGGTGAACCTTGGTAGAGTATTTAGTTCCTGATATGACGAAATAGATCAGTCATATTAGCGTGATGAGATGGGTACAGTTTTGGGGTGGTGAACCATGGTAGAGAATTTTAGTTCCTGATATGACGAATAAAATCAGGTCATATTCGCGTGATAAAAGGGGTACAGTTTTGGGTGGTGAACCTCTGTAGAGAATTTAGTTCCTGATGTGACGAAACAAATCAGTCATATTCACGTGACAAGAGGGGTACAGTTTTGGGTGGTAATTGGTAAACCTTGGTAGACAATTTAGTTCTCGGATATGAAAAAAAAAATTAGTCATATTCCGAGTGATGAGAGGGGTACAGTTTTGAGTGGTGAACATCTGTAGAGAATTTAGTTCCTGATATGACGAAACAAATCAGTCATATTCGCGTGATGAGAGGGGTACAGTTTTGGGTGGTGAACCTTGGTAGATAATTTAGTTCCTGATATGACGAAACTAATCAGTCATATTCCGAGTGATGAGAGGGTACAGTTTTGGGTGGTGAACTTCTGTAGAGAATTTAGTTCCTGATATGACGAAACAAATCAGTCATATTCGATTGATGAGAGGGGTACAGTTTTGGGTAGTGAGCCTTGGTAGAGAATTTAGTTCCTGATATGAGGAAATAAATCAGTCATATTCGCGAGATGAGAGGAGTACAATTTTGCGTGGTGAACCTTGGTAGAGAATTTAGTTCCTGATATGTCGAAATAAATCAGTCATATTCGCGTGATGAGAGCGGTACAGTTTTGGGTGGTGAACCTTGGTAGAGAATTTAGTTCTGATATGAGGAAATAAATCAGTCATATTCGCGAGATGAGAGGGGTACAGTTTGGGTGGTGAACCTTGGTAGAGAATTTTAGTTCCTGATATGACGAAATAAATCAGTCATTAATACTGGGCTATAGTCCATGATTTTCATCGATTTTCATACAATTTTGACCTTTTTCACTGGGCCATAGTCCATGATTTTGATCGATTTTCGAACAATTTTTCACGTTTTTCACTGGGCTATAGTCCATGAAGTTCATCGATTTTTGGACAATTTTGACCTTTTTCTCTGGCTATAGTCCATGATTTATATTGATTTTCGAACAGTTTTTGGCGGTGAACCTTGGTAGAGAATTTAGTTCCCGATATGGCGAAATAAATCAGTCAAATTCGCGTGATAAAAGGGGTACAGTTTTGGGTGGTGAACCTTGTTAGATAATTCAGTTCCTCATATGATGAAAATAAATCAGTCATATTCGCGTGATTTTCACCTTTTTCACTGGGCTATATATAGTCCATGATTTTCATAGATTTTCGGACAATTTTGACCTTTTTCAATGGGCTATAGCCCATGATTTATATGATTTTTCGTACAGTTTTGGGTGGTGAACCTTGGTAGAGTATTTAGTTCCTGATATGACGAAATAAATCAGTCATATTCGCGTGATGAGAGGGCTACAGTTTTGGGTGGTGAACCTTCGTAGATAATTTTGTTTCTTATATGATGAAATAAATCAGTCATATTCGCGTGACGAGTTGGGTACAGTTTTGGGTGGTGAACCTTGGTAGAGAATTTAGTTGCTGATATGACGAAATAAATCACTCATATTCGCGTGATAAGAGGGGTACAGTTTTGGGTGGTGAACCTTCGTAGATAATTTTGTTTCTTATATGATGAAATAAATCAGTCATATTCTCGAGATAAGAGGGCTACAGTTATGGGTGGTGAACCTTGGTAGAGAATTTAGTTCCCGATATGGCGAAATAAATCAGTCAAATTCGCGTGATAAAAAGGGGTACAGTTTTGGGTGGTGAACCTTGTTAGATAATTCAGTTCCTCATATGATGAAATAAATCAGTCATATTCGCGTGATTTTCACCTTTTTCACTGGGCTATATATAGTCCATGATTTTCATCGATTTTCGGACAATTTTGACCTTTTTCAATGGGCTATTATAGCCATGATTTATATTGATTTTGGTACAGTTTTGGGTGGTGAACCTTGGTAGAGTATTTAGTTCCTGATATGACGAAATAAATCAGTCATATTCGCGTGATAAGAGGGGTACAGTTTTGGGTGGTGACCTTCGTAGATAATTTTGTTTCTTATATGATGAAATAAATCAGTCATATTCGCGTGACGAGATGGGTACAGTTTTTGGGTGGTGAACCTTGGTAGAGAATTTAGTTGCTGATATGACGAAATAAATCAGTCATATTCGCGTGATAAGAGGGGTACAGTTTTGGGTGGTGAACCTTCGTAGATAATTTTGTTTCTTATATGATGAAATAAATCAGTCATATTCTCGAGATAAGAGGGCTACAGTTATGGGTGGTGAACCTTGGTAGATAATTTTGATTCTTATATGATGAAATAAATCAGTCATATTCGCGTGATAAGAGGGGTACAGTTTTGGGTGGTGAACCTTGGTAAGAGAATTTAGTTCCTGATATGACGAAATAAATCAGTCATATTTGCGAGATAAGAGGGGTACAGTTTTGGGTGGTGAACCTTGGTAGAGAATTTAGTTCCTGATATGACGAAATAAAGCAGTCATATTCGCGTGATAAGAGGGGTACAGTTTTGGGTGGTGAATCTTGGTAGAGAAATTAGTTCCTGATATGGCGAAATAAATCAGTCATATTCGCGTGATAAGAGGGGTACAGTTTTGGGTGGTGAACCTTGGTAGAGAATTTAGTTCCTGATATGGCGAAATAAATCAGTCATATTCGCGTGATAAGAAGGGTACAGTTTGGGGTGGTGGAACCTTGGTAGAGAATTTAGTTCCTGATATGACGAAATAAATCAGTCATATTTG